GACTTTCTTCCTGTCAGCCACTCAGCCACTTAGACTTTCTTCCTGTCAGCCACTCAGCCACTCGGCCACTCAAGATCCTGAGTGGCTGAGTGGCTGACACGAAGAAAATCCGCATTTCCACGTACAATCCCAAATCACGAAATGCATCTCAAATCATTGAATCTTTTGGTTAATAACGAATCACGAAATGAATCCAAAATCATGCGGTTGAATAAGGAATCCTGAATCACGAAATGAATCACGAATCACGCGGTTGGATCACGATGTCCGGATCACCGATCGAAATAGCATTTGAATATTTAGCTTAATTTTGTGGTTCTATTTCCCTATCTTCAAGTCGGCTGAGCTCGTCAGTCACGGTGCTGCACCCTCTCAGCCTGACCCATCTGTTCCCAAGTCACTTGTAAGGAACAAGACAGCAGCAAGGTATCGATGAACATACATAGACATTTAGGATCTGGAACAAAGTAGAAGAACATCTGTTATATCTTTTATTTTCTTTTCCCTAGCCTTCCAGGACCATATAAAAATTGGTTGACCTGGTTTTGTAGTAGTGTAAAATCCTTAGTAAAACAATGGTTGTTCGGAAAGAACCGTTTAAATTAACGGTGGTTGGAATCTAATCTTGTCTCACCTCCACATCGTCTTTGAGGATGAGAAGCTCTGTCTGCAATCATGCGGACTGATTGGCTGAGCAAAGTGACTTGGGCACAGACCCTTGATTCAAGGGAAAAGTGATCGCGGAACCACACTGAAAGTGGTAACACAGCTCAGCGCACTAAAGCAGACTCCGCCACATCACCAACCCTGCACTTGCAGTGTTGCACAATGTTCCTATCACACCGAGCACATGTTTATGTGTATTTTCTGAAGAGGTGTATCTGTTTTCTTTGTCAAGAGAGGCCGTGCAGCAAGGTTTGCATTGAATTCCCGCTGTGTTTTTGTTACAGGTCAAAAACTCAAGCTATGTTCAATTGGTATTGCTGCTGGAACTAGAAGTCCACGGTGCACTGCCGATCTTTTGACATCTTTTATTTCCCCTTCTACAGTAGATCTTCAGTCCGGAAGGTTATCAAGCTTATCAGAATGGACGGATCAGCTTCTCATTTGCTCTTCTCGGCACGGCAGTCACGGCCCTACGAGCCTGGGCAATGGCCTCCACAAATGGTGACACAATGTCTTCTTTCTCTACATGTCTTCAACTTCAAGGCAGTGAACGTACATCAACAATTATCTTGACAGAATCGAGCCCGTCCATGCAAAATTCCTTGAAACGGCATATTAGCTTTTCAACATGTTTCAACAGTGCTTGCAAGGCTTGGACTTGCACCTCAGAAAAAAACTGATGGAAATGATATCGAAGCTGGTCATGATGAGTTTCAGCTTGGATGCTGGTGTGAATGGCCACATTTCCTGGCTCTCCAGCAGGTGCAACTGTTTCTGCCTGTGCTGAGCGAGCACGTTCCACCTGCACTTCACCTTCAAAACGGCCTTCGGTGCTTTCGGCGTTGGTCTTCTCTGCAGATTTGAAGGAGGAAGGACACGTGGCTTTCGCCCCTTAGATTCCAGGGCTTCCTACGTCTCCACCAGATTGGCGAACAGAAGCGAACCAGGAGTTTCGGAAGAAAAACAATAAGCATCCGAAGGATCTGGTATTCTTGAACACCGCCTTCGGCCCAGGTTGCAAGCAAGTTCGCCCCAATCTGTTTCGCCTGCACGCGCCTCTATGTCTCCATTGATTTGGGAGGTTCAAGGCATGACGTGCGCAGTACACTGAAGAAATCAGATTCACTTTTCGAAATGAGGATTTTAAGTTGGCCTGGCGCCAACTGATCCCCTTTTTCGGCTGGCCATGCCCTCACTCGTGTCGCTGCCAGTGAAGGACCGCGAATAGCTTAGACACGCCCGAAAGACCACGACAGGAGCAGTCGATGGAGACATCACAAATCCGCGTAGCTCTTAGGCCCCCCATCAAGCAACACCTCATAAGGAGTACAACGACATCAAGTAAGAGATGTAAGACTTACGAGAACTCCTCAGTGACTGTAGGTCAAGAATCAGTAGCTTTGCAAACGCCAATAGTAGATAATAGTAGAATAGGACTAAACCGCTGGGAGGCCCTCGTGCAGGTGTGGGCTCGTCTGGTCGACTGGCGGCTTGTGTAGCTTCTGCGGCTTTGGGCCCCTAGTAGCTTCTTGTTCCTAGTAGTAAGGCCAGGAGCCCCTACTAGCGTCCTTGCTCCTAGTAGCGATGCCAGGAGCCCCTAGTAGCTTCGTGCTCCTAGTAGTTTCTGTGGCTTTTGACTTCGTCGGCTTCTCGGCTTTGGCTTGGTTTGGTTTTTGATGGCTTGCTTTTGGTGGTTCTCGTGGATTTCGTTGGAATTTGATGGCTAGGTTTTGGTAGGATTTGACTTTTGCTGTCTTGTGTGGCTTCGGGCTCGTGTTTGAGTTGCAGCTTGGTTTGGTTTGATGACTTGCCTTTGGTTCTCGGGGATTCTGTTGGATTTTGATAGTTATGTTTTGATACCATCATATGATTGTTGTTCGCATTTTTTTGCTTTTTGGTGGCTTAGCACTTTGTTTGCTCTTGGGGGAGGCGCTCCGCCCTCCCCCCAAACCCCTCCAGCCATTTTCAAGCCAAGCCAAATCGACCAAACCCCCCCCCAAAAAAAGTAAACCACAGCCGAACAAAAGCCAAGCCCAAGCAGTTTTGGGTAGAGGAAGACCATTCGCCACCACTGAAAAAACTGCACCCTCTTCAGAGGCACCAGGGGACTGCCTTCCTGGAAGCAAACCTAAAATGCCTAAAATCCCACAAGGAGCGACCTAGCAAAAGCAAAACATATTCCAAAAAAAGAAGCAAAAACCATTCCAAAACTACAATGATACCTTCTGTATTTTTCTTCACTCATACCTGAGTGATCCTCAGTGTCAGTGAACCATCAGCATCTGCCCGTTCGGATGGTCTGGTTGCGTGCCGAATTACAAGTTGGACTGGTGACATGGCAGCTGCTTCCTAGACATGGCAGCCTGCAATGCTCACCTTTACTCTTTTGCAAAGGTAAGCCCATTGCAACCGAAATCATACAAGCAGAGTCCTTGTGCGATCGGAAACATCTTCCTGCAGGACCTGTGTCTCATCTTTCTGGTTTCCAAGACCTGCGCTCAAGCAGCCTGGCATCGTCCATTCCGGAGGCGCGGCTAGCTGAGGCGGGCCTATATAATTACATCTAATTGCTAAAAACTGGAATGTGTGCACAAAGGTCTCGCCGTGAATGTGTCTGGCACTCCGAAGGGTGTTTCTCTTGACCACGAGAGGACATGTTGTTTCCTCTTCTCGCCTTGGTCCTTCTCACCCTTGTTGAGACATTTGTATATATCTATATATGAGTTGAAGAACATCTTCTTCCTATACGCGCCTGAGGAGATTCGGCCAATCTCACAGCTGATGTGCCATCGGACGGATGAGAAAGGTGAGAAAGAGTGTTCGTCCTCCAGAATTTGTTATGTTCCTTTTCAGTATCTTTCTTTTGACTACATACGCCTTGTCCGGAGATCTTTGAAACAGAAGTTGCTCCATCTCCGTCTTCGATGGCATGGTGAGTAGTTGGAGCTCAGGGTGAAACCATTGCCAGTTGATTCAAGTTCTTGGCATACGGAGTTGATGCCAAGTCGGATTGCGCCACACTGCGCCAAGCAAAAGCAGTGCCTTAAAAACCGCCTGCACAGTGACAACACGGGACAACGCCCACGCCCTCTGCAGGCCACGGGGATCAGGGCTAAACGGACATTGGCATAGGCTCAACGGATCTGACTGCCTTTCAACCGTTCTGTTCCTATGATCACTTCTACTCATACTCTTTACTTGATTTTACTTGTCCATGTCTTCATGCAGATTATGCAGTACGGATTTCTCATGATTTCTCCATACCAATGTCCCGAGGGAAAAGGTGAGGGTGGTCGAATAGAGTGCTTGAGCAGCCACGAATCTTTGAGGACAAACTGAAGCAGTCATTGGTGTGTTGATGTGTGTGTTGTATGCTTTCCGTCAAATCTCCTTGCAGAACAATTACTTGGGTTCTTGGTGCCACCAACGCTCGGAATTTCCCTATGGGACTGCAACGCATCAAGTTCTCGAAACGCAAGTAATTGTCCTCACACGTGTCACAGCGTACCCATGTCTGCCGCGATGATCTCAAACCGAGAAAGTGTCATGCGCCACACACTCGGGCACTGTGTTCGGTGGGCGGGGGCATAAGGCCTTCTTTGTTGAAACTGTGTATTTCCTTTAGATACAAAACATGTCAGAGAATGTGCTGTTTCTCTTTCTGGCATCGGATTCCATTGGCCATTTTTCAGGCACCTTGGCAGTTCCCGCCCAGAACACTGATTTCTTTGACAGCAGTCTCAGACGACCCTGTACAACAGCACCTCAATCAAAAAATGACCCGGTCAGTGGCTGCCACCGGTTGGTGGGTTCCAAACTGTGCTGTTCTTGGGATTGCGCCTTGAGTTTTCCGCTCCAGGGTTGCTCAGCCATTGTCAACTTCCATCCCCTTGCACGGTGCTACTTGCCCCATGTAGCTTTGATCGCCATCAACTCAACCTTTCTTCCTTTTTCGATAATAAATTCTATAGAATTAATTCCAGTTGTTTCAGAAAGGATCTCGAAGTGAATGATGGCTTTCAAGGATGCTGACAGTACTGTTCTTGTGCGACTGGTCAACGTATGTCGACGTCTTTGTGAAAAGGAGTCCACCCAAAGAACGCCGTGACCGGTTCCTTGTTCGTGCCTGTGCCAACTCCATGAGGCTCGGTCCTGTTGGTGTGACTTGGGACGCGACCTGCGTCAGCTGACCGTGCGATGTGACCGTGCCATGCGACATTGTTCTCCAGATTCGCAGAGTTGGTTCGCTGTTTTTGTTAAACTATGTTAAACTGTTAAACAAATGGCTTATCAAAATTGACGTCCCATGTTTGTGCCAAAAATCTCGGAACAACACGTGCCCCGAAGCACTCTAGCAAAGTAGTATTTAGGAAACAACGTATCGGGTCGGGATAAAAGAACCTACACATACAAGTAGCATGGGACATCAAAACACTGCAAAGTGGGGTGAATATCATGGTAATGTATAGTAATCGGCTCATTAGTTCAACATATAACTAAAAAAGAAAAAGAAAATTAAAAAGAACATACACAATATATCGGAGTGTTTTTGTGATGTTCCCCGGCCGGGATGTTCGACGGTGGGGCATGCTTCGGGGGTATGCTTCGGCTGTGCTTCCCCTAAGTCGAACCACAACTCTACATAAGCTGGACACGATAAAAAGAATGCAAACCCATATGATTTTGACGAACACTCACCACTTCAACCAACATCTGAGAACATGCAACTTCACCAGCAAAAACACAGACACACACTACAGTGAACAACGGAGACTTCCTGCAAAAGTTATGCGACCTAAATGACGTGAAAGCAAGCGCGTGCATGTGCTTAAGAACTCTCTTCTAATGTCGCCCTTTGAAAGGACACAGAACATCCTTTGAAATAGACTTGCACGGGGCCATGCATTTGCACTTTTGAGACTGACCATACTATCTTTGCAGCAATCTTGACATCCCGGAGTCATATTATCGTATGACATCTTGACGCTGACTTCATATCATCTCTTCACATACGGATTGTGGATATGAATTAATTAGCATGATTTGATACGATACATATCGATACATGATATACAACCTGTTGTTGAGTTGTGATACATTCTGTGATTTTTGCTATGACACACTAGGGCAAAAGAATATGACAATATGTGATGCTAGTATGTAATTTGATATGCGACATGATGTATCATTGGATAGACGACAGTGCCTTCTATGTTCGTTGCCAATAAGAAACCTTTGCAAGGCTTTCAGGGAAGAGAAAGCCTTATCCTCTTCTCCAAAGAGGTTTTTACAGCGGTTTTGATCAATCAATCTTAAGCGATGACAACGTCCCCCTGCCCGTGATTATTCCTTCTCCAGGGACGCTTTGAGATCTTCGAGTACAAACCAGCTCGTGTGACAATTCAAATACGGAAGAGCGGCAGGGGACGGATGTCTCGGAACAAATAAATAACGGACTTCTTTTTTTGGAAGTTCTAAAACGTGCCTTTCATGATTTGTGAAGTGGCCTGGAAGCAGTAAGTCATGAAGCATTCTACTGGGAAATCCTCGATAACTTCCCTGAAAAATACTGTCCAGTAGTTGTCAAGGTTGATAGCTGCTTGACAGCTGCTACTTGATAGGCACCAAAGAAGAACACTAGAATCACTAGAAACCGCTGTCTGAGGTACTTATAACAGCTCTGGGTGAACTAGTCCTGGGCTTTACGTGATTGTTATATTGCCATCATTGGCCCCAACCGCTCGATGTATCTTGGCGCCAGCTCAAGCCTTGCCTCGCGAATATCGCCCGGATGCCCTGCAAGGCCTCAGCTGTCAATGCGTCTAAACGCAAGGAAGGACGTTCAATAAAAGACAGCTCAGTGCTGGACAACTCTACAGCTGATACAGTTTAGCTTTGAAGCATTCTGAAGCCGTATCAGCGCATCTTCACAGAAATGGTGTTTAGTTTGTTTTGACCTGCCAAAATGGTTTCGATGGCCAATTTGGGACATCCAAGAGCCGCACAGTGGAGCAAAGGGTGGCCTTTTAGACGAAGGATCGTACTCTCCTTAGGGGCTGCTAGATCCACTGATTTGGTTTGCAACCATCGATTTGTTTTAAACCCGCTCCAACGGAAATAACTAGGCGCCTACTTAATTACGTAAGGGAGAAGCAATCTGTAGCAATCTACTAGCTACATAAGCTTCTAGTAACTGGACGCAGGATAGCTCGCGCCTCAAGGAAGCTCCCTCTGAGAAAGCCTGAGTCTCACGCCACAATCTTGCCCCGGGGCACGGATGGCGTAGGTTCCTCAATGCCCCACAACTGGCGGCACACTGGAGGACGAGTGACATAAGTCTCCTGGGGCCCAACTCCTCCGCCAGCATCCGCACTGCCCACGGAGTCTGGAAAGTCCCGATCTTCCAACATCCTGTGACGGATCACAACACATGGACTCCGGTCAACTGCTATGATCGGTAGACTGTCAACTTAGATCAATTAGAAGCATCGGTATTATAAGAGACGAGATGAAACAGGTGGTACAAACTTTGGATTGGATATGCTAAATATCATGTCAACGGCCCGCCTATGGATGCGCTGTAAAAAGAGCTTGGCAGCTTCAGGTTCTTTGAGACCGCTCAGCGTCACGTTCACCACCTTGCCAATCTCCAGCAAATTCAGCAGAATGTTTGTTTACTGCCATCCGTTCTGTGCTCTCCCTCCTCTCTCTCTCCTTCTCTAGACCCTACTTTCTCGTCCTTCTTGCTCCTTCTTAGAATGAGGTGTTCTGTGCTGGATGGATAAAGAAGCTTCAATATGTTTCCGGTCAAGGCCTAAAGTCGGACCATGGTCCCGAACCTGTTGGAAAGGACCAACCAGAATCGTCTTGGGACCGAATCATCCCGGCTCCGTCAAACACCCACCTTTGCTGGTCCCAACGAGTGGTAGATCGGTACACGAGAGAGGATCAAAAGGTGCAGCTGGCACCTCAATCGAACCAAACTGGGCACATCGGTCACATCATCCAAATTCAAACGGTCTTTTACTCAGCACTTCCGACTGCTCTTCGTTCCGTTGGATCTTTGCGAAGCCAGGGGGGCGTGTGTTCCAATAGCTCACCAAAGAGTTTTCGCACATCAGGGCAACTTGCAAAAGCACCGGCCTGACTTTCCGAAAGCGGTTGGCATCCCCGACGGTCCTTGGATGTCCTTGGTCCTATGCAATTCTATGTCATAGGACCCAACCTAAGAGCAACGGCCTCGCGATGGCCTCCAACCCACTAGTGATGGCCTCCACCCTAATAGCGATGGCCTTCGACCTACTAGTGATTGTATGTCCATCCTATCCGTAAGCATTGCCTACAAATGCCACTCTTGTACTGCTCTGCTCACAACATGTAGCGTTTGGACTCTCATAGCATCCACGCGGTCAAGTTATGAACCCAAGCAAGCACACCCCAGTAGTTCGCAAGTGAACTGAGTAGCAGTCATACTAATATAGCATGTTTGTTTGCAGGTTGGAGGCCATCGCTTATTGTCTGTTTCCCCGTCGCCTCGTCATCCACCACTAACAACGTCGGAGCTCGACGCCGAACACGCTCGATGTGTTGGAACCTCGATGTGTTAGCCAGGCCATCGGGTTGCAACATGTTCACAGGGCACCCTTCAATTGTGAGGATGCCAAACATTCGAACGTACCGCTCCTCTAGCAAATTCGAATCTCCATAAGCCATAGGCAAACATAGCCAAACGTGAGCTATTCTCTGTTGCCAAAGGTCGCAAAAATCTCTACAACGTGCCAATGGCAAAGCCGAGGAATCACATGTTAGAAAAAGCTGTTGCATGGAGTGGAAGCACAAGAAGCCTTCAAAAGAAGCTTCCGC